AAGACAACCCACTATGCTGCAGCACTTCATGACCGTCCGGACGTCAAACTGTTTCCCCTTGTCATCAAAACCTTCGGTTGCTTCGGCTCATCGTTCAACAACTTCCTTCGCCAATGCAGCCGAAAAGGGGCTTCACAACTCCGCGACTTGAGTGGTGCTACAGATTCTCTTCCCCTGCTGTTTGAGACCAACTTCTACAAACGGATTTCTCTGGTCCATCAACGTGAGCAGGCTCGCACTGTTTGTCGTCGTGCACAAATTCGTTTTACCGAGGGCGTCAACCACGCACCACCCGAGGTGACTTCTCTTTCTGCAGCTGACTTTGCCTACTTTGGAGAGGACCACTGAAACATCTCAGAGGCCTATTTGTAGGCCTCACAATACGATTAGCCTGCTTTCCATACACTAGGTCTCTGGATTTGCCTTGTATCCATTGTACATTTACTATAGAGTCAATAAAGAGGTAGAATAGCACCCTGCCATCAGCACGGTGCAGACCCGGGTTCGATTCCCGGCTGGCACAGAGTGGTTTCCTGGCTTTTGCCGCGAACTGGACCATCCCATTGGACGCCCAACAAAGCCCATGCCATCAACCGCTTGATAGCAGTCCCCCCGTGCATTGGCTTTGGCCCTCACTACAATGGTTGATGTTAAATAGCTTTGGCAGGTCACTGCCTGCCCTGCCCCTGCATGTGCCCACCTCCCGTGGTTGCATGAGGCACAAGCTATGAACCAGGAGCTAGGTAGGAGAAAGGAGACTCATATTTGTGCATCTTCATGTTCCTCCCATTTGAAGGGCCTCAACAATTGAACCGAAGAGCCAGGAGACCCGTACTTCTGCACATTCATGTTCCTCGGATCTCTCCACCTACTCCCAGCCCCACTGCCCAGCCCTCCCCACCTCTTTCACCGCAGCATGGCTGGGCGTTACAACCTCCAGCTCCCTTCTCCCGACCTCTCCAATACTGGGTCCGCCCTCCCTCCCCTGCATTAACCCATCCCTCCCACCAACCCACACCTTTGCAGCTCTCCCGCCCATCATGGCAGGGCGCTACAGCATGAACCTCCCCCCGCCTTACCTCGCTTCCCCCCTGTCATTGCTTTCCTCGTTGTTTCCTCCTCCTTCCCTACCATCCATTCCACCATCCAAAACCCCACACCTTTCCACCGCTTGCAATGAATCATGGCAGGATGCTATGGTGTGCTGTGCACTGCAGCTCTCTCTGCCCTTCCTTGTCTGCGCATGTTCGTTGCTTCCCCTGCCCTTTATCAACCCCCCACTCCCCTCACTCCCGTTCTTCCTTCCACTTCTCCCGCCCACTCCTGTTCATGCCGGGGTGCTACGGAGTGCACCTCGCCCCGTGAATCAAGACGTGCATGGCAGGGCATGGGGCGCGGCCCATCCTTCCCATAATCTTTCGTCGTCAAAATCCCTTGAAACCTTTTCTTGTCAACAGCTGCCCTACTAAAATCATCGTTGTGACGTAGCAGCATACCCAGGCTCCCCACACGCCGCTACCCTACTCTCCAAGTTGCTCCAACAGCCCTATTCTGCAACCACAGGGCCACATCACCACTCCCATCAGTTTCTCCCTTAAACGCCAACAGGCCCTATTCGGCAGTCGCAAGGCCAAGATGATCGCCCTTAGAGCACTGAGCGGGGGCGTCTCAACACTGGACTGGCTCTCGTGAACTGGGTGCCTTCCAGGCTGTGTGCCCTGCCTATACTCAGCTTTCATCTTCCTTGCCTTTCTCTGCCTTCTTTCCTGCTCTTTCCTGCGCTGCCTGCCTGCCCTGCCTTCCGTAACCCTTCCTTCTGTTGGTGCAAGGCCAAGTACACTACTCACATCACACCACCTGTTTCTCGGCCTCAGCATTAGGTAGCATCTCCGGCAGTGTGCTCTTCTGGGCCGTCATCATCATCATCATCATCATCATCATCATCATCATCATCATCATCATCATCATCATCATCATCATCATCATCATCATCATCATCATCATCATCATCATCATCATCATCATCATCATCATCATTAGGTAACAGCAAGGAGCTCCCATCGCTCGACAAGATCTCGCCACTTGGCAGACGCCGAGTCATGCTCGAGTCGAGTGTATCCTGCTGAGCTGAGCAACAGTCTACTGCTGCGCTAGAGTGTCTCCCAAGAATGGCGGCACGTTCCCTTCGTTCCAGCCCAAGGATGCTATTGCATGTCACCATTCGGCATGACACCACCAATTTCCTTTCAAGTTGCACCTGCTGGTCATCAGTTCCACTACGAACTCAATGTGTGTCTTGGTTCCACCTCCTGTCCCAAGGAGCTATGTTTGGCCCACATGTCCAACCAGCACAGCACCAACATTTGCGCTAAGTATTCCAAATGATTCAAAACAATACCAGTACTTGCACGTTTATCATTAGCTTCCAGCTGTCAGTGGCTAGCAAGATCACACCACAGTATGAATGGAGCTTCCATTCAACCCTGGTCCATCACCACTGCGCTACACGAGACCTTGCATAGCACTGATCTGTAACAAGTTAATTCTGTAGCCCGACTCTGCTGTACATATCACACACATTTTATAGCACGGTTCTATCTGACAGAAAGAATTTCCTACAGTTTGTTCGGCAGAGGTCAGCTCTGTGTGCACTGTCCTAGTGGGAGTCAGACCAGGAGACTTGCCAAAGAAAGAAATCACTTTATCAAACAAACTTCACAACACAAATGTATATCAAGCGTACAGACTTGCAATGGCCTATGCAAACATTGCACAAGCACGTTGTAGCCATTATAAACATTCCTCAGCTTGAACCTGCCCACAGTACATGGAGCAACAGTTGGCCTGACAATGCAGAGGCCTGCCTGGGTGGGATGAGAAGGCCTGAGTGGTTTGAAATGGCCTGGCCGCCCAGTAGTCATCAACTGCAGCCGCAACTCACGGCCCACTTGTCATCAGATTCCTTCAGCCGACCCAGCAGCGTAGCAAATGAGCGTTTCCTCTTCTCCCTGGCAGCAGCCTTCCTCAAATCAGCCATGGTGAACTCATGCCCCTCCTGGCAGCTCTCATACAGATACACATACTCCAGCGAAGAACACGACCCTAGCAGCTCCAACAATGCCTCAAAATAACGGTGCGCACACAGCCCGATCAAATATACCTTCAGCTTCGGGCAGCTCGAAGAAATTACTTTTGCCAGGTCGGGCAGGTCGGCGCAGTCGTCCCGCTCACAAAAGGGCTGGATGAGGGTTTCGAGCGAGTACCAGTGGTGGGCGGCGGAGACGAGGGAGATGTAGGTGACGGTGTGGGGCGACGGCGAAAACGTTGAGATGGGTAAGGTTGGGGTTAAGTGCTGCTAGGGCCACCAGGCCTGTGCCTATGATGTGTGCATTGCAGCGAGCGCATGGAGGGGCATCAACGGCCCACCTCCTCTAGGGTCTCGTTGGTGGCCCACTGGGGGGATGGGGAGAGGACGAGGGTTGGGGTTTGGGAGGAAACAGGGAGGGGTAGATGGTGGTAACGTGAGGCTGGATGAACAAGAGGGACGAGCGTCCCACCTTCAGGGCATTGGGACGGAACGGTACGGGTCATCAAAGGGTACGGGTCATAAAGGGGTTCGGGTCATAAAGGGGATCGGGTCATAAAGGGGTTCAGGTCATAAAGGGGTTCGGGTCATAAAGGGGATCGGGTCATAAAGGGGATCGGGTCATAAAGGGGATCGGGTCATAAAGGGGATCGGGTCATAAAGGGGATCGGGTCATAAAGGGGTTCGGGCACCACAGTCTTGACAGATGGACATCACACCTCTTCCCAAACCAGTCTCCTCCCCTTCCTTGCACTCCACCTTATTCACCATCAACCCACCTTATGCATGACGTGCATGGAGTCCCGACACGCAGCAGTCACATCCCCCAACACCCACAGCTGCTTGCACTTCCCCGCCGCAGCCTCCACCACCCCCACCACCGTCGCATGCGGCCCCACATACACCTCCTCCTCCACCACCACACAGCACCACGCTACCCAGGGGTTTCAATCTTGAGGTTGCCCAGGTCGAGGTAGGTGAGGAGGGGGAGGGAGGAGAAGGCTCGCTCTAGCAGGCGCAGATTGCCCTTGATGGTCTGGGAGATGACCAGATCGGGCGACACAGGACGACAAAATAATTACGATCGGTCAATGGTAGACAATACTAGACGAGATAGAAAAGCCAACTTGACAGCACGTATAATTTTCTTCCGTCTCTCCAACCCTCCCTCCCTTCCCTCTCTGGTGCAGGAAAGCGGGGGAATTGGAGCAGAGGGGGAAGGAGGAGGAGGTTTGAGATGAGATGGCCAAGGGGGGACATGGGGAGAAGATAGGAATAAATGAGGAAAAAAGGAAGAACCCGAGGGAGTTGTTTTACGACGGGGAGGGGAGGGCAAATTGAGTGGGAAAAGGATAGAAAAGGGAGGTAAATGAAACAATAGGGGATATAAGAAAGGAGATACGAAAAGAGGCAGTGGAGACGATAGTGGAGGGGTGGGGTAATGAAGAGTTGGAGGAAAAAAACGAGGTTTGGGGCGTGGTGGAGGTGGAGGAACAAAAAGGAACAGTCTCAGAGACTCACCCGGCTTCTTGAGGTCAGATTTGAGAGGTTGCTGAGAGGTCGCCCAGTTTGGCCCCACATGTATTTTACCTCTTCAACAACTTTTCAAATCCGACCTCAATAAGCTAGACGAGTTTCTCTGGTTGCTCCTTGCGTGTGCTAATCATAATAACATTTAAAACCTCCACCACCTCCCCTTTCTATTCCCCTCCACCACCCCCCTCGTCTTCTTCCCAACACTTCATCACCCCAATTTTCAATTAATGCCACCCTTCTCCCTTTTCCTATCCCTCTCTTATTTCCTCCTTTGATCACCTCCCCTACCTCCTTCCATATCGCCCTTTCACTCAAATTGTCACACCCCCTTCGCAATACAACCCCTTCTAATAATTACGTGTATTCTTCAATGATCCCATCATCTGCTCTTCTCCCCCCCTTCGTCATCTACTCCCAAACCTCCTCCTCTTTCCCCCTCCACTCCAATTCTCCCATGTTCCTGCACCAGAAGGAGGGAGGTGGGGAGGGAAGGTTGGAGGGAGTGTTGGAGGGAGGGTTGGAAGGAGGTTTGAAGGGAGGGTTGGAGGGAGGGTTGGCTGGAAGGACAGAGGGTTGGAGGGTGGGAGGGCTGGAGGAAAATCAGAGAGGGAGGGGGGTTGGAGGGAAGGTCGGAGGGAGTGTTGGAGGGAGGGTTGAGGGGAGGGAGGGCTGGAGGGAAGGATGGAAGGAGGGTTGGTGAGAGGGTTGGTAGGAATGTTGGAGGGGGTCAAAAGGAGCGAGGATTGGAGGGAGGGTTGAAAGGAAGATTGGTTGGAGGAGGAAGGGTGCTTCTTCACTCCACAGAAGACTGCACACTTCCATTATTAACAGTAGCTAGAATTCTTGGTCATTCACCAAAGCACCCCATTGCTGTCTACATGGAAATCACACAAAAATCACAAGAGATCATTAATCAATGAATCGCAATCCTATTGTAACAAGGACGGAAGTAAAGCATCAACTTACCGTTTGATGAAACAACTTCTTTCTACCCTCCTCAGAAGTTGGCCTGGTCGTGGGAAGAGAGTAAGGAGAGAAAAGGCGGAAGTACAAGATGATGAATTGGTCAACGGTATACATTATTGGGCGAGAGAGCAGACCCAATTTGGCAACACGTATAATTTACCTCATCCATCCTGTCCAACCTTCCCTCCAACCCTCCTTCCAATTCTGGTACAAGACAATCAGAGAACTGGAGCAGAGGGAGAACGAGGGAGTTTGAGAGGAGATGGCGAAGGGAGGGGAACAAAGGGAGAAGATGGGACATCGGTGAAGAAGTCGTTCTGCGAGGGGGAAGGGGGATAGGGAAGGAGGTAGCGGAGGCGATAGAGGAAGAGATAAGAGAGCCGACAAGGAAAGAGGCAGGGGAGACGACAAGCGAGGATGGTAATGAATTCTTGAAAGAAGAAAACGAGAATAGCAGCGTGGTAGAGGTGGAACAATAGAAGAAATGATGAAGATATATGAAGCTATTATAACGAGCGGAAGCATGAAGCAGTCAAAGAGCCTCGCCCGGCTTGTTGAAGGCAGATTTGAAAGGTTGCTGAGAGATCGCCCAATTTGGCAGCACGTGTCATTTACCTTTCCTTCATAACCCCCCATGCTCTCCAGCTCAACCGCCCTCATTTTAGTCACCCACCCCTTGCCACTCTCCATCCACCAGTCCGCCGCCCGGTCCTTCCTGTGGCCGCCCACTCCTTGTCCACTAGCGCCGCTTCCGCTTCTCCCCTGTCTCTATTCCCAAAGACGCATCCCTTTCCTCCACAAGAGCACGAGGAACGCGCCCCAAGAAGTGGTCTTGGGGGGAGAGCATGAGGGCAGGAGGGCAGAGGGGGAGGGCGTTCCCCCTATCGAATTGCCACACACTCCAAAACTTGCCGTACGTATTGACAAGTTTCTTCAACTCTTGCTGCTGCATGGTTTCTAGCACTCCTGGGTTCACCCACAAGTCCTCAAATATCTGCAAGCGAGACAGGGAAGAGCGGCAAAGGAGAGTAAGAAGAAGGAACTTCATTTCTTGCACCCCGGGGTTCATGCACACGCCCTCACAGATATGCTGATGGGTTAGAAGCAAGCGCTGGGCAGAGGGGTTGGAAACAGGTATGTGAGGGGTATGCAATGCAAGAAACAAGACCCATAAGAGGACGAGGCATGCAAGGATAGCATGACATATGCAAGAGATTTAGTCACAGCACGAACCAGAACCAAGCGAGGTTGATTGAGAATGCAAATACAAGAGAACAATCACAAGCCATGTCCAGTCATAGCTGCTGTGTTGTGCAACTTCTGAGAACAATCACAAGCATCAGCAATCAACAATGATTTCCAGCCATGCATGCGTGACTAGTTACCTCACAGTAGTGCGAGTGCCACAAGCGCTTCTCCTCCTCTGGAAGTTTTTTAAACACCACCTCCGATACAATGTAATGCACACCTGGAGGGTGATGGGTTGGGGCAACACACACAGAGCATCCAAGTTTTTCATGAGAAGAGAGGAGAGGATAGGAGAGGAGGGGAGGGGAGGGGAGGAGAGAGGAGGGGAGGGGAGGGGAGGGGAGGGAAGGGAAGGGGAGGGGAGGGGAGGGGAGGAAGGAGAGAAGAGAGAGCTAAACATAGTGGTGGATTTGGAGGAAGAAAGCGAGGAAGAAGCGGACGTGGAAGATTCGGAACAGTGAGTGGATGGTGAGACACAGTTAAAGGGGGATAAGGAGGGAGATGGAAGGGGGAATGGAAAGGGGATTGGGAAGGGAAGGGGAAAAGAAAGAGTGGGGAAAAGGGAAAAGGCAAGGAGAGAGGGAAGAATACGGCAATTGTCAATCTCGATGTCTCCAATTGCCGTATTCTTCCCTCTTTCCTTGTCTTTTACCTTTTCCCCACTCTTTCCATTTTCCCTTCCCTTCCCAATCCCATTTCCTTTCCCTCTTCCATCTCTCTCCTTATCCCCCTTTCCTTGTGTCCTCCATCCACTTACAGTTTCGCCTATTCCACATCCGCCTCCTCCTTGCTTTCTTCCTTCAAATCCACCACTACACTCAGTACTTCCAAATTCAACATTTCCACCCACTCCTCCTTGTTCCACCTCTACGTTCTCCTTCTCCTTTTCTTCCTGCACCTTCTACTTTACCCTCCACTCCCCTATCGCCCATCCCTTCCTCCATCAGCATAGATGACACCATCACTTCTGCCTCACCCCCCTTCCGCATCCCCATGCTCTCCAACTCAACAACCCTCATCGCAGTCACCCACACCTTGCCACTCTCCACCCACCAGTCCACCGCCCAATCCTTCCCCATCACCGCCCACTCCTTGTCCACTAGCACCGCCCACTGATCCAGCTTCTCCCTTGTCTCTATCTTCAATGCAGCATCCCTCTCTTCGACAAGAGCACGGGAAACGCGGCCCAAGGGGTGGTCCTGGGGGGAGAGCATGAGGCCAAGAGTCGAACTGCACTTCTCAAAAGAGAAAGAACTTCGTTTCTTGCATCCTGGGGTTCATCCACATGCTGGCACAGATCTGCTCAAGGGTTAGATCCAAGCGCAGGGCAGAGGGGTTGGAAACAGGAATGAAAGGGGATATGCAAGATGTATGACCTGTGTGAGGACAAGGCATGCGAGGATGGCATGGCACATGGAAGAGATAAAGTAACAGCGCGAACCAGAACCAGCCGAGGTTGGAGAATGCAAATGCAAGAGAACAATCACAAGCCATGTCTAGCCATGGCTACCGTGTTGTGCAAGTTCTGACAACCGTCACAAGCATCAGCAATCAACAATTATTTTCAGCCGTGTATGCGTGAGTGCCACAGGCGCTTCTCCTCCTCTGGACGTTTCTCAAACACCGACTCTGTCACGATATACTCCACACCTATGGGGTGATGGGTTCGGGCGGCACACAGAGAGCATTCAAGTTTTCCATGAGGAGAGAGGAGAGGATAGGATACGAGAGGGGGGGGGGGTAGACGAGGGGAGGGGAGGGGAGGGGAGGAGAGGAGAGGGGAGAGCAGAGCAGAGAGGTGAAGAGAGGAGAGCAGAGAGGAGAGCAGAGAGGAGAGGAGAGGAGAGCAGAGAGGAGAGGGGAGTAGAGGAGAGGAGATGAGAGAGGAGAGGGCAGAGAAGGAGATGAAAGGACAGGAGAGGAGTGACTATGCGAGGAAAAAAGAGAATAGATTGAGATAAGTAAACTCACCAACAATGCGTGCGTTGGGCTGATCACTGTCAAAGACGATTCACTGCAGCACGTCCTCTCTGAGTCGCGCCACCAGCTGCCCAGCCGGTAACCAGAGTGTAAGTCAAGACAGGCGTGAGTGGAAGTGGCTGGCACGCAGAGGAAACCAGCAGCACTCACCGACCATGCAATCGTTGGGTTGGTCAGAGTCGAAGACGATGCACTGCAGCATGTCCTCTGTGAGTCGCGCGACGAGGTGGTATTCAGAGGTGATTCGGGACAGGTTTGTAGCAGAGCCAATCAGCAGCACTTACCAATGATGCGAGCATTAGGCTGGTCACTGTCGAAGACAATGCACTGCAGCACGTCCCCTGTGAGTCGCGCCACCAGGTGGTGCGTCTCGATCATGCGCCCAGGGCTCTGCGTAGTGCGCCCACGTGCTCACGTGCTGGCAGAAGGACTTTAACGGCGGAATGATTTCAGGAGAGAAGCAGTTGTCTCGAGTGCGGACGTTGCCACGATAGGGGCTTCTCCCGGCACCTGGGAGGAGGGAGCGCAAGGGATAGAGAGAGATCGGAGCGGGGAAGAAGGAGCAGTGTGTAACGCCAGGGCTCTGCGCGTAGTGCTCCCACGTGCTCACGTGCTGGCAGAGGGAAAAGAGGAGTAAGGGATCGGAGCAGGAAGTGCTCATGTGCTGGCACAAGGAATGCAGCAACGATCGGGTGGACATGGCATGGAGGGCGGCTCACTTAGCTCCTGGGGAGGGGACGGATAGTGTAAGGGGGCAAGGAGACAGCGGCAACTGGAGCGGTGAGTGCTCACGACGTGGACTCGTGCACGAGAGTCCCCATGGATGGCACCCCGCTCAGCACCTGGGAGGGGAAAGGGAGAGTAGTAGATGGAGAAGAGAGAGCGGCAAGTGAAGCAGTGAGTGCTCACGAGGTGGAGATGTGGAAGCGAGTGAGTCTGCTGCACCTCACTCTCTCCATGGTGGAATTTAGCGCGAGAATTTCCATGCAAGGGGACTTCGCCTGGCATCTGCGGAAAGGCGGTGGGGAGGGGCATGGGTAAGGGGGTCAGTGATGGAGGTTGGGCGGGCGCACGGCTGGCGAAGAGGATAGCGGGTGACTAGGTGCGCAACGGCAGAGCAGGCATTGTGGTCGCCTGCCTATTCAGGGTAAGATGGAGATTATGGGGAGTGAAGGGGTGCACAACGAGGGGGGGGCAGCAGAAGTTGCGGTCGCGCCTACCTCTCCAGGGAGGGTGCGCGACGGCGACAGCAAGAGCCTACCTCTTCGGGGCGAGACGGGGAAGGCGACTTCTGGGACGCGTGCGTGCTGGTCGCCATGCTTTGCACTACTACTGCTGCTGTGGGACCTGCTGCGCTCGACGCTGACTGCTTTGCTCATAGTACTAGATGAAGGAAACGCAACGAAAGCATCACCGCGACGCTCGAAGGCTTTGCTTGCCTAATCCGTTGTCTTGAGAAGGACTGTCAGAGAGATCGACGACTTTCGGGCAGGGAAAATAAGAGGAACAGCTTTCAGGAGCTCATGGGTGCTGCGCGGGAATCCTGTTGGAGGCATTTCTTGAGGCCTCGATGCCTCCAAACGAATTCGCGCCGCATCCCATGCCTCGCAGTTCATCGCATGCGCCGATCGGTTAGCAGATGCGGCCCGATGCACCTCCGCCCGCGACGCCGCATTCCGCTAACCCGCAAATAGTGCCCTGCGGCCTCGCGTGACCCTTCCACGAATGCAGACGCCAGGTACGAGGGCGCCCCATTTGGTGACACCTGGTGGAAGTTACGATGACACTTGCTCGTTAAAACCAGCCTCGTTAAGATGCAAACTGAAAGTGAAAGCGCCACTCACAAAATCTATGAAATTGAAAGTGAAATGCTCTCTCGTTGGTTTGTCTCCTTGTCGTACTGTGTCCCGTGCGTTGGGTATGGCAGGGAGCCGTCGAAAGGTTATCATAAACATTCCCGAAGGTTATCCACTGTCGAGTTTCTTCACAGCGAAGCAAGCACTTGCACAAGTACCGCATGAGCTCATAGAGCATGTGGAATGTCAAGGGTCACCGGAAGGTCAACAGTCGAAGACAAGTCAACGGTCGTGCCCCTTGACTTCCTAGTAACCGCACAAAGCAGTTACGAAGTGCAACATGGTAACTGTCTAGAATGGCAATAGTCGTGGTTACTGTAGCAATGCAATTCGGTTAATAAGGGAATGTATTATGTACCCCTCATAGTACATGGCTAGCTAGGATTGCTATTTATATCATTGTACTTTTATCTTATAATCATCTTGCTCTCTTTCAATTCCCAACAAGGTCATTACAGAGACATATAGTTCTCTCCCATCACATTCGGCAACTTTATCCTATTCACTTCGATCCTAACTTATAACAACATGGTATGAGAGCTAGAGTGGATTATAAGGCCTGCCAAGCTCTTGTTCTTGCTAGAACAATCTCTCTATAAATTATTCATTACAGCATTAAGGACTCTGCATCACCATGGCTCCAGAAGGAAAAGCTACTGCAGACTCTCCGGGCCCACCACCAGCAACACCCACTGCACCATCTGCGGTGGTGACCTCCGTCAGCGCTGCTCTCGTCGAGCAGCTGGTCGCCCGCATCAACGCCCTTGAAAGCCATCAAGCAATGAGTGTTGATGGCTCAAGCTATGCACGTGGGGTTGCCGGACTTCCTCTCCCCGGAGAAGACCGCCGCGTCAACTCCGAGAGGTCATTCGCGTTTGACAACCGTCAAGCTTCAGCTCCTGCGCAAGACTGTCAACAACGCGCACATTCAGATACGATTGCAACAATGCAAACAAAATTCGTTCTAACATCAAAGCTGAAAACATCAGTTCCTTTTGATGGAAAGGACTTCTACACTTGGAGCTTCGAGTTTGAGCTCCTCGCGACAACTGCGCAAATCTGGATGTATTACAACGGAAGGCACCATACAAGAGAAGAACCAGTATTACCACGAATCTCTTCTCGCGTACACCACTCTGCTCCGAAATCTCTCCCCCGACGAACAGCTCGGCATTCGCTCCTACAAATCAGAGTGGGCGCCCGCGTACGCCTCCTGGGAGCACCTGCGCAATTCATACATGGCAACAGATCCAGTTACCATGAGTCGCCTTCTCAGCCAGCTCACATCGGTCAAGATGCATCAAGGGGAGAAAGCAGGACCATATATAAACCGGTGCCGTAATCTTCGTGATCACATCAAGAAGTGTGGCGGATCAGTTCCAGACGACATGTTCGTCTCCATGGTCCTCTCCGGCCTCGGACCCGACTGGCGCCAATGCCAATCTCTGCTTCGTGCTCGAGCAACTGTCTCCGAATCGGCCCTATGCACCACACTTCTCTCCGAACAAAAGGAGATCGACCTGTACAACGAGAAGAACACCAAACGGGAAAAGTTAGTCTTCTACGTTGGAGCTACTGAAGGGGAGCAGCACGGAAAGAAGGGAACTTTATGCAAGTACTGCAAGAATACTGGGCACACTATCGATCGGTGCTACAAACGAAAGGCCGCCGACGAAAGATGCAATAACCCCTCGAACATTCAATCTTCAACGGCTTCAACCCCTTCCGCCGCAACAACCACCATCTCGCCTCCCTCCGTCGCAAGCACTTCGCAGACACCTGCACGCATTACGACCAAGGACGAAGGCAAAGGGACAATCATGAGCTGCATGGCTCGTCGCAACAGAGGCCATCGATATTACGATCGAGTGACATTCGCGATCGACGACCCCATCAACCCTGTTGCACCAGACAAGACAACGATCCCACCGCCTCTTCCTGGCGTGATTCCCCACAAAGGTACCCACCTGATTTCGAGTTGCCACCACCGACGCCAGAATCACATCCCAGCATCTCGGCGAATCGGTACTTCGCTCTCTCGCCATACACCGGCGAGAAGGACCGCGTGGTCACACCGAAAATCGCCACATCGCGCGTCAGATCTGCGAGAACATCAACATTTGGTACTTGGACAGTTGCTGCAGGCAACACATGGTGGGATCGCCAACATTCATCAGCAACTCCAAACGCATGCGCCGACCCTGCGAGATCACGGTAGCAAACAACGGCACGCTCAAGGCATATGACATCGGTGAAATATTCCTTGAAGCTGCCTGATTGGCGACGTGCTTGTCGCTCCAGATCTGCGGTACAACCTGCTTTCCTCGGCACAGCTCATGCGATGCGGCGTTGACATCCGAAGCAACCGCAAAGACAAGACCTTCGAACTCTTCTATAACAACTCTTACAGACGGTTGATGACGACGGTGTCCTCGTTCTGCAGTTTTCAGCACAAGGCACCACTGGCGATTCTCACCGCACCTTGCTCCTGAAGACGACTCCTACAGAGACGCCGACTTGGTCCCATCCCACCGAAATGGACCTTGAGCGTCCCGCCTCGGATGGCCTCATGCGCCTTTGCACGGTTCCGACTGCTTCAACCTCCAACCCAGCTGAAACTGGACCTGCAACAATGGAAGAAGACAGCGGGACGTCAGCACCTGCGGAGCCAGTCACTGAAGAAAGCGAGAAAACTGGAACTCAATCAGGCAGCCCCGGCCCTGCACTTGGCCCCTTAGGAGAAGTTCTGACGCCAGAGGAGGCAGCAGCAGAAGGGCGGGACACTATCTCGGCATCCGGAAGTGACGCCAGCGCTCCAACAGATGCTGGCGCCAACACCGGAGGCGGCTGGGGAACCGGAGGCGGCTGGGGGACCGGAAGCGGATGAAGCGAAGAAGGCTGGGGTCAAGCTGCTCCTGCCTATCCCGAAGCTCCGGGACTCCCTTCAGCGGAAACCGCGGCAATCGATCCCTACTGGCCAACGCGCGGCACCAGCTGGGGCGGACCTCCTCTCCCCGATCAATACGCCCCTGACACACCAGAACCCATGCAAGAAGAGTCAGAGGAGGAAGAAACATATGAATTCTTCGGAGAAGCAGCAGAACTGCCAGCACCTACCGAGGAGCCGGCGCTGCCAGAACAAGGCCCACAAGAAATTGAAGTCATCGGGACCGAGTACAGCTACTTCCGCATCCCCATGAAGGGATTACCAGTCCGCGACTGGCCCAACCAGTGCCTGCTTGTTACCGGAGACCAAGTCGAAGCCGGCGACACCGACGACATCATCGGTATCCCTCACGCGCTCCTTGAACGAAAGTCAATTCACGCGCTTGCCGCTGACACCGACAACGCCGCCGAGGCAGGACCTGAAGGGGAGGCAAACGACAAAGCAGCAAGACACAAATATTATCAGAAAACGGTCGGCTACCGTGCGGAACCAGAAATCTGGCATCAGCGACTCGGCCATCCCTCACATGCAACCCTCAAGAACTCCCTGCAAGCTGGCGTCCTCGACAACGGAGCGCTCCTTCTTCCCCGCGGAGGCTCTCTCACCGTAGACTCCGAAGACCCGCCATGCACCGTGTGCCCTACTGCGTCACTCGCCCACAAGCCCTTTCCCGACCTTCCGCCGGGTTACGAACGCTACAAACCACTCGACAAGGTCTACAGCGACTTCATGTGCCTGACGGAAGAGGGACTCGACGGCGAATACTACACGCTCACCTTCATCGACGCAAGTACACGCCACGTCTGGGCTGTTAACACTGACTGCAGGTCACTCGCCTTCGAGTGCTTCATCGCAGCGGGATGGCGGTGTTCCAGTGGATGAAGCGGGCTGAACGACAGTCCGGGCTTAAGCTGACGGAGCCCTGGAGTTCCTCTCGGACGAGTTCAAGGAACTCTTTAGGAGGAAAGGGATTGAACACCTGGTGTCCTTGCCCTACGCTCACGAGTAGCGAGTAGCAGAACAGACAAACAGGAGCCTCGCCACCAGGATGAGGGCCCTGATGAAGCAGTCGGCCATCCCAACAAAGTACTGGCCATTCGCGATGAACCACGCAGTCCGGCTACACAACTTGCTGTCTTCCCGAAGCCTCGAGAACAACAACTCTCCCTACAAGGCGTGGACGGACAGGAAAGCGGACATGCGCCTGCTTCGGGTGTTCGGCTGCATGGTACAGTACAGGCCACATACAGCGAGGACAGGAAAATTTAATGACCGGGCTCGCTGGGGCATCCACCTCGGGATCGAAAAGAAATATAAGGCGTGGATCGTGCAGGACTAAGCGACATACGAGGTGACAAAATCACGTGATTGCATCTTCTACGAGAAGCTGACCCTGCCACTGTTCAACGAACACCGCGAAGCTGACAGGGCATCGGAAAGGGTTTTCGAGGGACACCGCAGCTTCGCCACTCCACATGATGAAGCTGACCTGGCAGAAGATGTGGACAAAACAAATGTTCCCCAATTTGACAGCGCACCCAACATCCCCCTTACAAGCCCATTCCAGACTCCAACC